GCTGTGACCTTCCCTCATGGGTGACTCCGGTCTCACGACAACTTGCGAGAGTTATCATTAACCTCTCCTCATCGGATCACTATCAGATTCGATGGACAGTTGCCATTCCGACCCAAGCACAGCTGAAACGTGAATCGGTCGCTGCTATCAGTGAGCATCGCTCTCACTGCATGGCACAATCATCTCAAGCCAACACGAATGCCATACCTGGTGTTCCCACGGCAGGTGAACAGGCTAACACCTATCACTCCACCGGTGCTGTTGTTACCACTTCACAACAGCAATCGGTCTCCCAAGTGAGCTCGTCTATCGGTGGCCCTTCCAACTACGACATCCAGCACAATCCCACGGCCGTATGCTCAACCTTCGGGGGGTATCAAAATTATACATGCCCTCCCCGTATTCGTCCGTTGCAGATTAAGACTGATGTCACGAAGCGCCCTATCGATCAGGCTATTAAGCAGGTTCGTGTCTTTATCGGTCATCCTGTACATGACCGCCTCAAGTTCGACCCTAACCACAGTGGTGCCTATGCTAGATGGCGTGTTGCCTTTGCTGATGCGATCGAGCGCGTGCCATGCTCTCGACAAGTTGCTACGGAGGCAGTTCTGGCATGTCTACCAGAGCCTGTCAAAGGCACTGTCGAACGAAGTGTTCACCCAAGTGACATCGAGAAGTTTGGTCACGTCATCATCATCTATGCCTTGGACCATACCTATCTGACGAAGCTCGAGTTGCGTAGTGTCTCCGCTGCGTGGGAGAGAATCTGCCAACAACCCAATGAGTCTGTCCGCCAATATGCTACGAGGTTTGAGCACTGTGCACATGTATACACAGCTCTCTACTATACTCATGGTCTTTCTGCCCGTGACATTACCACCAAATTCTCTGATGGTCTCCGTGGTGCCCGTGAAGTTCTGGGAAGATGTCTAATTGATCCCCAATGCCAGCTTGGCTATGAAGCTTACAAGCTTGCACTCTTCGCCTTTCTCGACAACGGCACACCCCTGCCCGATGATCTAACGGCAATGACGCCCGGTCAGTCACGGTCTCAAG